AGCTTGTCCAGGTTTGCACCTGAGTTGGTGGCGTCTGAGGAACGACGTTGTATTGAGTTTGAGAAGAAGTTGAGGCGTGGCCTCAAGCTACGAGTTGGGGGAACTATGATTTGGGATTATGGGTGTATGGTTGATGCTGCAGCCCACATTGAAATTATGATGCAGGAGGAGGAGGAAGGACAGAAGGGCTCCAAGAAGAGTCAGGATGGTCAGAGTGATGGTAGGAGACAGAAGGGTTTTAATCCTCAGCAGTCTCTGGGTAGCTTTTCTAGATCGACATTCCCTGTGCCGAGTGCTAGTTCGGGGAAAGGCAGTCAGGGAGACATTACCTGTTTCAAGTGTGGCCAGCTGGGCCACAAGTCTCCAGTTTGTCCTCAGAGGGGAGGAGTTCAGAGAGCAGCATCTTCGTCGGCTCGATCTCAGAGCCAGAGTCAGGGTAGAGGTCAGCCACTCTCGTGTTATCCGTGTGGTCAGCCAGGGCACATGAAGAGGTATTGCCCGCAGTTGGGTGGCACATCTGGTGCATCTGGTTTGAGGCCGATTCAGGGTCAGCAGCCAGCTCAGTCGGGTCAGGCCTCGAGGGCAAATCAGGGGGCTTCATCGTCCCAGTCGGTACAGTAATCTTATGCTCCTAGGGGTGAGCAAGTTGATCAGAGGTCTTCTGGGCACGTGTACGCTGTTACCACGCAGGATCTTGTGCCGGCACCATCAGTTGTGAGAGGTATCTTCTTGTTTTGTAACTCGGTTGCTAGTGTTTTGATTGATACGGGTGCATCTCATTCCTTTGTGTCTGTTGCACTTGCATCTGTTTTGGAGTTGGAGTTAGCGCAGTTAGCATCCCCTATTTGTGTAGTGTCACCTCTTGGGGGTGAATTAATCTTGAAACTAGGTGTCAGGGGTTGTGATATAGAGGTCGCTGATCATAGACTTCCGTTTCCTTTTGTAGTTATGCCCATGAAGGGCTTTGATGTTATCTTGGGTATGGACTGGTTATTGTCATACCGGGCAGTAATTGATTGCTACCGCCAGAGGGTCACTTGTTGTATCGTGAGCGGGGAGTGTTTTCATTTTCTGGGGGACCGGGTTGGTAGTGTTTTGCCACCGGGGTATGATTCGCGAGGGCGAAGTGAGATAGTGGTCTACTTGCTAGCTTTGAAAGTGGTGAGTGTAATGAGACTCAGACTGTGTTGCCAAGAGTGGTTTGTGAGTACTCAGACGTCTTTCCCGAGGACCTTGTTGGTTTGCCACCTCACCGAGAGATTGAGTTCTCTATTGACATAGTACCCGGCACGGCGCCGATTTCTATGGCACCTTATCGTTTTTCCCCAGCTGAGTTAGTTGAGTTGAAGATCCAACTCCAGGAGTTGCTAGATAAGGGCTATATACGTCCTTTCGCCATGGGGAGCACCGGCCCTCTTTGTTAAAAAGAAAGGTGGTGCTTTGAGACTTTGTATAGATTAAATTGAATCGGGCTACGGTTAAGAATAAGTATCCTATGCCTCGTATAGATGATTTGTTCGATCAGTTGAAGGGTTCTCGTTGTTTCTCGAAGATAGACTTGAGATCGGGTTATCATCAGTTGAGAGTCAGGGAGGAGGATATTCCGAAGATGGCATTCCGTACGCGGTATGGTCACTATGAGTTTTTGGTGATGCCATTTGGGCTCACCAATGCACCGGTAGTATTTATGGATTTGATGAACCGGATATTCCGGGAATTTTTAGATTGTTTTGTCGTCGTCTTCGTGGACGACATTCTTATCTATTCACCTTCTGAGGAGAAGCACAAGGAACACTTGAGAGTGGTGCTTGTGTTACTTAGAGCCCATAAGCTTTATGCTAAGTTTGGGAAGTGTGAGTTCTGGCTAGAAGAGTTCAAGTTCTTAGGCCATGTAGTTTCTGGGGAAGGAGTGTCTGTTGATACATCCAAGACTGAGGCAGTGCAAGATTGGGCACAGCCTAAGAGTGTGTTTGAGATCCGTAGTTTTATGGGGTTAGCTGGGTATTATCGCCGGTTTGTGAAGGATTTCTCCAAGTTAGCTTCACCTTTGACTAGTTTGACTCGGAAGGGAGTCAAGTTTGTATGGAGTGAGACTTGTGAAAAGTCGTTCCAGGAGTTGAAAGTTAGACTGACCACCGCTCCAGTCTTGATTATTCCGGAGAGGGGGTTGGGTTATGCAGTCTATTGTGACGCCTCACGAGAGGGTCTGGGTTGTGTGTTGATGCAAGAAGGGAAAGTAGTTGCCTATGGCTCACGTCAGTTGAAAATTCACGAGAAGAATTACCCTACGCATGATTTAGAGTTAGCAGCTGCAATATTTGCCTTGAAGATTTGGAGGCATTATCTTTATGGTGAGAGGTTCGAGGTATTCTCGGATCATAAGAGCCTGAAATATCTGTTTACACAGAAAGACTTGAACTTGCGGCAGAGGAGGTGGATGGAGTTTATTGAGGATTATGATTTCGAGTTGCATTATCATCCGGGGAAGGCCAATGTGGTGGTCGATGCCCTTAGTAGGAAATCCGTTGGTGACATAGCTAGTATAGCCATCCGGGAATGGGAGATGTTGGGTGCACTTGGGGAGTTCGATTTACTTCTGGGCGAATCCGTTGAGGCTGCGGCCTTGTTTTCTGTTGTTGCACAGCCTACACTTGTGACTCGAGTGTTAAAGGCTCAGGGGGGTGACCTTGAGGTAGAATCCCTCCGTGAGAAGATTT